TATATATATATATCTCTAAGAAAGAAAATTCATGAATACGTTTTCATAAAAGTGCTTGAAAAAAATTATTGGAATATCCAAGTTGATGGATATGGGTCAAAATTAATGACATAATATTTTTCTGATTAATAATACCTACCTAATCATATAAATCTATTTTATTCATACAAAAATAAATATCAAATTTTATTTCTTAATTAGAAATTMTATTAATTTCTCGTTACATTTCAAGAGTCCYCGTTTATTTGCCAAAAATGACCAAAGGGTTCAAATTCCATTAATCGTCAACGTCATCTATATAATATATTGTAAAAAAAATGTAAATATTAGAGAAAACTTCAGAAAATCCAAAGGATTTTTTATTTTGAATATTTTTAAATTAATAAATTATTAAACTTTCTCATTTTATAATAAATAAATTATTAAAATTTTACAAATTAGTTACTTATATTCTTTGAAAATAATCTGCCTAGCAATCTTTTAAAATTAAATAAAAAGCCCGATTAAGTTCGCCGATTAAATAAAATTAAATTCATGACCTCCTGGCTTGTTAAAGATAAAAACGGCCTCATGCTCATTAAAAGGTCATAGATTTAATTAAATAACAACCTTTAAATTTTATATGGATGGATGGAAAGATTGAAAATGTGTGGCCATGCATTCATTCTACACAAATTTCCGACATTAGAATTTAGAGAATAAATACATGGAAGCAGGAAGGGACTTAGATTTTTTTTTAAACGGTAGCACCATTTGATCATAAGAAAAATATATAGGAATTTTTTTCAAACAGTGACACCGTTTGACTATAAGAAATAAATATACAGAATTTTTTTTCAAACGGTGGCACCATTTGACTAAAAAAATAACACTAACATGATTCGGACTTGAGTGTGGGGTGGAATAAAAGTCTTGCAAACTAACTCTACCAAATAAAACTTGTTCTCATTGTAGTTTCAAAATACATACGATAAATCACAACAAATTAATAAGGTTGCACCATTCACGGAACCTAAATTTTTTACCCTTTGGCGAAGAAACGATACGGTGGGTGGCACTTAACTAGGTCCGTCTATGCATGGAAGATCTGATAAGCACAAAGGACATCTCAGCGTGTTCCTCAGCGTAATCGGAAGTATTTGAACCACTTCAATCAGTTGCAAAGGCACGTTATACATATATAAATCTGATTATGTCACAATTACGTTATATGTTAGACTAAGATTCCATCAAATCATAATCTTTTATACAATTTTCAGTATTAAGGRGYCGTTTACCTAAACACTTACCCGGTAAGCACTTACCGGTAAAATTCAACACTACCGTTTACTTACCGGGCAAGATTTTATTCACTAAAACGCATCGTATGCAACAATTTATSCCGGTAAGCGCTAACCATGGTAAGAGTCCTCATCCTYACTTACCAGATAAGACTTTCGATTCTTGTCTTTGATAAGATTATTAGCCCTTGCCATATTCATCCGGTAAAGTAAAGTGACTTGGTAAGCGCTTACTCGGGTAAGCGTAAACGGCACATTAGAATCAATGACATGAACCCAAAATAATATAGAGTCAAGCATGGTTATAAACACTTTAGATGCATAAACATTAACAAGATTGTTACAAAAGGCCTTATGATTGCAGATAAGCCTTTATCCATCTAATAAGTTTGGTACCTTTCATCGATTTATATATCATATTCTTGAACTATATATATGACAATGTAATTATACTAAGCAACAAAAAACGAATGATCGACTAATTAAGGTTATCAACACTCAAGAAGGTTGACGATGTTGACTCACCATATGTTGTCATCTCCAATTCCTTTGGGTACATCACTTGTTCGAAACTAGTTTGAACCGTAGAGGGAATGTGTGACATTCGGATACTTTGTAACTCTACTGCAACTTCTTTCATTGTTGGCCTATTTTTTACATTCAAATTCAAGCATCACATTGCAAGGTTGGCTACTGCCAAGAGCTCATCCCTGCTACCCCCCTTAATCACCATCGAATAAAAAATAGACATAACACAACCATCTTCCATAGCCAACAGAAAATGTGTAGCCAAAGTTCTATTTCCGCCAAATCTAGTCAGGGAAATTGGTCTTTATCCCGTCAAGAGTTCGACCAAAACAACTCCAAAGCTATAAACATCGCTTTTTTCAGTGAACTGGCTAGATTGGAAGTACTCAGGATGTAGTTTAACTAAGGTAGTCAAGTGAGTTTGATCTATTGACACAAACCTTGAAGTTCCAAAGTCTGAAACTTTGGCCCTGTATTTCTCATCCAAGAGAATATTAGTGGTTTTAATGTCCCTGTGATATATTGGAATGGAAGTTGYTGAATGCAAATAAGCAAGGGCTCCTGCAACCTCTGTAGCAATTTGTAATCTCATTTTGAGAGAAATTGGAGAGTCATCAATCCCATTGTGGATACGATCGTACGATGTCCCATTTGAAATGAATTCAGAAACTAGTAGAGGAACCTCGGTCTCCAAGCAACATCCCAATAGCTTCACCACATTCCGATGATTGACTTGCGAAAGAATGACCACCTCATTGACAAACTGCTCTAATTGGCTTTCATCCACTACCTTTGATTTCTTGACTGCCACAATCCTTCCATCAACTAGCATACCCTTGTAGACTGTACCTTGACCTCCTTGGCCAAGGATTCTGTTCTCGTTATAGTGGTCGGTCGCCTTCTCCAGTTCACGTGATGTAAACAGTATGGTCTTATCAACTAAAGACGAGTCAGCCTCTTCCTGTTGCTTTAGAAGTAGGCCGTAATGCGTTTAAAAAACCTCTTCCGACGTCTCCGGGCTTTGGTTTCCTTGATTACTTTGTACAACGCATAGATGATCGTTGTAAGAAAAAGCACCCCCATGCTTATGCTAACACCTGATAGAAGGAAGCCCAATGCACATAGGCAAATTAATATGGAGCATAACATATTTAATAGAAGTCGATCAATCTTCCCATATGAGACACTCCATCTTCGACTTTTTTATGATTTTTTGTTTTTATATTCAAATAATTAATATTGAAGAGTAAATCGGTCATTTATGTTATTTAAGCTGTTGATTTAGATAAAAAAAGTAAACAATAACACATATTTATCCAGACAGACAAATTTATCCATATATGACTTAATAAATTTTTTGATAAACAGACTCAAGTACTGGAATTAACATAACCCATTTTTCGAGCATTAATGGTGAAATTAAGAGCAGTCCCAAAAATGATAATCGAGGCTCATCCGAATTGGGTCGGTCAAAGCTCCTTCCAATGTTTAGTTTTTAAATGTGGGAGACTTAATGGGTAATCAACTATTAATCCATTAATTAGTATTAGCTTTATAAATCGGGGTATTTTYGTAATTTTCWTATATTGATATTAGTGTTGTTCACSGGCAGTACGACCCTCTAGACTCGACCTGTTAGAAAAAGCAAGCTTGGACAATTATTCTCGGCAAAATAGACCCATTGTATTATTATAGTTGATTAAATTATTATTATTATTATATATATATATATATATATACATTTGTATAACCAATACAACTCAATCTCAACCGTCCATTTAATTTGATAAATATGT